AGGTCTATCCCAGGTGTCTCTCACCTGTCTCTCACCTGTCCAGGTGTGTGCTAGGTCTGTCCCAGGTGTCTCTCACCTGTCCCAGGTCTATCCCAGGTGTGTCTCACCTGTCTCTCACCTGTCCCAGGTGTGCTAGGTCTATCCCAGGTGTCTCTCACCTGTCTCACCTGTCTCTCACCTGTCTCTCACCTGTCTCTCACCTGTCCCAGGTGTGTCCCAGGTGTGCTAGGTCTATCCCAGGTGTCTCTCACCTGTCTCACCTGTCTCTCACCTGCCCAGGTGTGTGCTAGGTCTGTCCCAGGTGTCTCTCACCTGTCCCAGGTCTATCCCAGGTGTGTCTCACCTGCCTCTCACCTGTCCCAGGTGTGTCCCAGGTGTGCTAGGTCTATCCCAGGTGTCTCTCACCTGTCTCACCTGTCTCTCACCTGTCTCACCTGTCTCTCACCTGTCCCACCTGTCTCTCACCTGTCCCAGGTGTGTCCCAGGTGTGCTAGGTCTATCCCAGGTGTCTCTCACCTGTCTCACCTGTCTCTCACCTGTCTCACCTGTCTCTCACCTGTCTCACCTGCCCAGGTGTGTTCATCTGCCGGGGCCGCGAGGACGCGCTGGTGACGCGGAACCTGGTGCCGGGAGAGTCGGTGTACGGCGAGAAACGGATCAGCGTCGAGGTACTGGGAATACTGGGAGTACTGGGAGTACTGGGAATACTGGGAATACTGGGAATACTGGGAATACTGGGAGTACTGGGAGTACTGGGAATACTGGGAGTACTGGGAATGGCACTGGGAATGGGACTGGGAATGCGACTGGGGGGACTGGGGGTACTGGGAATGGGGATACTGGGAGTACTGGGAATGGCGCTGGGGGGACTGGGAGTACTGGGAATGGGACTGGGAGTACTGGGAATGGGACTGGGAGTACTGGGAATGGGACTGGGGATACTGGGAATGGGACTGGGGGGACTGGGAATGGGACTGGGGGGACTGGGAGTACTGGGAATGGGAATGGGAATGGGAGGGACTGGTTTATACTGGGAGGGACTGGGGGGGTCTCCAACAGACTGGGAATGGGAGTGGGAGGGACTGGAAGGAACTGGTTTATACTGGGAGGGACTGCGGGGGAGCGGGAATGGCACTGGGAATACTGGTTCATACTGGTCCATGTTGGTTTATAGTGCTCAGTACTGGTCTGTACTGGTTTGTACTGG